CTTTTGTTCTAGGTTACAAGAACTATAGCTACAGACAGAACGACAGATGGGAAATAAAATCTAGTGTAAAGAACAACTGAATTTAAATCTCCCGTGATGATAAAAATATCACTTAATGGATTTGTGTGTCAGTTTTCTTTTAATAAATGAAGATTATGGATGGTCCTTGGCAGAATCATTAAGAGAAGTTTCTCTTACAAAGTTACTATGCTCTTAACCTGCTCTTTAGTTCCCTCTACTTCCACATAGCTCACCAAAACTAAGTGCATTCAGCATCAGCTAAAGAGCAACCTAAAACCAAAATGACAATGTGTTCTTCTTCCACAAACATATACAATTTAAAAAGAGAAGTACCTTAACCTTGCTTGACACAAGAGAATGGATTTCCACTGGTGAAATTTTAGGCTTTATGTCACCTGGGCCACGAAGCCAGTTTTGGACAATGAGGTCTGGCACTCTTTATACTTTCCCTCTATCAGTGTTTCTGCCTATAAATATTTGTTAGCTTATAGATGCTAATTCTGTATCACTTTCCTTTCTAGGAATACTCCTATAGGCTAAAAAAAATTTAAGAAATTCATTTGACTCTAAAAAATTAAACTTAAAATTCTACAATTATTAGAAATAGTATATAGTCTCTCTCTATTATTACTGAAGATTTCAGGTCTTGTAAATGTAATTAAACTTCATGGAAGTTGGTGGATAGGACAAGGGTTAAAAGCTCACTAAGAAAGTCAGACACCATAGGAGTAGTGGTCGCAGTGAGAAAGGCAGGCAGGAAAGCCACAAAGGTCATTCTTTTCTATGAAATTCTTCTACCAGCATTGAGTACTGGGTTGGGACAAAAAAGATTTTTTTTTTTTTAATCTAGGACCGAAAGTAGACCATATCACTTTTGAAATTTTCCTGTGTATTCCTGATCTGATCTGCTCTTACTTTATGCTGTTATCCCATCAACCTATTAAATTGTTGTAGTTCATTTGTTCGTAAGTGTTTACAGAGTACCTACTTTACAGCAGGCATCTGTGTGAATATTTGGAAGAGGTGTGGATACAAGGATGGAGAGAACACTGTCTATGTCTTAGGAATGCTCAATGAGGAGTAATTTTACAGGGAGTGAAACAGAAACAGATAAACAAAGCAATTATAACACCTAGATCATGAAGACCTGTAACAAAGGTACGGATTAAGTACAATGAAAACAATACAAAAGATAAACATCACAGAGGTAATGTCAAGACTGGACTTTAAGGAGTAACAAAAATTTGGCTAGGTAATAGAGGAAATGGGAGGAATATGCTTTAAGAAGAAGAAATAGCTTGTGTACAGATACTGTGGTTGGGGTCATGGGAGGAAATGATACCAAAAAATGGGAGGCCAGGACAAGCCTCATATATGGTGCTAAGTTGTTTATGCTTTAGTGTGTAGGGGATGACAGCCTCTGAAAGATTTTAAATAGAAAAGTTATATAATCTGATTTCAGTTTTAGAAAAAATTAACTCTGGTGGGAGTGAGGAAGACAAACTTGAGAGCTAGAGGCAGGTAAACTAGTTTTGTGATTATTTCAATAGTCTAGATGAGGGATGATAAGGGCCTGAAATAGTGCAATGAGCAAGTGAGGATGGCATAAAGGGAGTCAGATGATTCTTAGGTGGTAGAGAAAACAGAGATTGACAGCAAAGTGAATGTGAAGAGTAAGAAAGAGTGAGGGAAGGAGGACGGTGCTGAAACTGCTGAAGACCATCACTGGGAAGGGAGATACAGGAGAATGGTGAGGACTTTAATTTCAGTGGAGGAATTTTTAACAAACATACTATGACAACCACACAAAAGGGAGTGATATCTAACTTTCTAGGAAGCTGAAAAAGACTTTGTAGAGAAGAATTACTTGAACTAGTCTTGCTAGTCTGATGAGTACAATTATACTAATAATATAATTTATAAAATGCTTATAATAAAGTAACTGGCACTGAATTAGGTATTTTACATGGCATCCAGTTTATTACTCATATCACACCTGCCTGAGAAGGCCGTATTACTGTCTGAAATTTTCAGCTGAGGAACCTTTGGTTCCAAGGGTTAAGTGATTTGTCCCAGATCTCACAGGTGATAAGTAGGAAAGCAGGGACTGAAGTCTAGGTTTGTCTGACTTGGCTATACAGCTTGCCTCTCTCCTCTATGCTGCACTGAATCTCATGGGATGAATGTTTTTCATGGGGTAAAGGGGGAAAAGGCTCCAAGCAGAGGAATATACATATATAAGGTATTTAGTCTTGAAAAGATTGAGCCCTTTTGAAGAATGGGACATTACAGTGTGGGATGAAATGGCAAGAGAAGGAGGGACTATGCAATGTGCATTGTTCTAAAGGCATTACACATTTATCTCATCAAATTCTTATAACATTATGAGGTGGGAGTATTATTATCCATATATTATGATCTGCACTAGCACAGGTTTTAAGATAAAATGTGCAAGTTCATGTACCTCTGCATTTTGAATACAGATCCTGAGATTTTAAACCACTATGCTATATTATTGAAGATATGTGAGCATCTTTACTTACTGTTTACCATTATTTTATATTAGTTTTATAATAAAAATATAATTAGAAAAAGGCCATTGAATTTAAAAGTTAGGAAATTACTGGTACTCTTAAAAAAGAACAATTTTGTATAAAAGCTCACCATTGTGTAGTGAGTAGCACAGGAGTGAATCAAATTGAAAGATTTGATAATGAATATAGATCAGTTATTCAAGAAATCTGGTGGTGAAAGGAAAAGGGGAAATGTGCACCTATTTAGTTTACATCGTAATTACTGCCCAGAATACTGACATATTTACAAAGGACCTTCAAAAATAATTGCTAAGAACAGTAATTTCAGATTATATGGAGAATACTAATACCATCTAACAAAGTCTTATAAGCTGGTTTCCTGGAAGGTTATCTCTTATATGCAATAAAAAGATTGATGCCCACATTAACTGCAATGAAGGTATACTGCCCAATTGAAGGCAGTTAAAAATAAAATATAGTGAATTGAATGCGAACAAGAAAGCCTCACAGTATTTCCTCTAGGTCTTACTGCTGGAAATTAGAATAAAAGATTCAACATTTAAATTTAAATTTAACATTTAAATAACATAATTGTTTCACTTAAACTCTGTCCATTGATTAGTGTCATTCCATTAAAACCTTTTGATCTGTCTGTGGTTAAATGTGAAGAATAGGACAAAATAATAAGTTTTTTTCAAAAGGTTAAACTGATTCAACTTAAAGCATTATCTGAAATGATGTTATTTCTACTTGGTATACAAAGTTTTTTTAAAATTATTTCTTACAAAATAATAATACTAGTTGATAAAATCTAAAAAATAAAAGTTGGCATTTCCAAAGATTTTACAGAAATTTAATTGGTCTCTGGGGAACAGTTTTAGGGGATTTTAGTCATGTATATAAATTAAAGAATTACATGTAAAGAAAACTCTGAAATTGTAATTATTTGTAGACTTTAAGCAAGTAGAGCTAACAAATACTGTCAGAAGTTACTGATTTGTAATTTACAATGAAATGAGACCTATCTATGTTATCTTAGTGTTTTTAGAATGTTAATGTATATTGTGAATAATGGGATATGGTTTCCGACTGAACATAAAAATAATCTTTAAACCTACAAAAATTAGAATACTTACCATAAATCATAAATTTCAGGGCATTCTGACTGTAAAGATTTTTTTTTTAATTTTTTTTTCAATTTATTCATTTATGATAGTCACAGAGAGAGAGAGAGAGAGAGAGAGGCAGAAACACAGGCAGAGGGAGAAGCAGGCTCCATGCACCAAGAGCCTGACGTGGGACTCGATCCCAGGTCTCCAGGATCGCGCCCTGGGCCAAAGGCAGGCGCCAAACTGCTGCGCCACCCAGGGATCCCTGTAAAGATTTTAATATGCATAATTCGTAATCTGTTTTAAAATGGGTCTTAACTATAGATTTATCTGACTTTGGGCTACCATCCAAAACATAATTTCAGGGACTCGGGTGGCTCAGGAGTTGAGCATCTGCCGTCAGCTCAGGGTGTGATCCTGGAGTTCTGGGATCAAGTCCTACATGGGGCTTCCTGCAGGGAGTTTGCTTCTCCCTCTACCTATGTCTCTGCCTCTTTTTCCGTGTCTCTCATGGATAAATAAATAAATAAATAAATCTTAAAAAACAAAAAACCATAGTTTCAGGGATATTGGGTAAATGGTTGAGATGATTTATTGTCAAATAAAAACTAAAGAAGTAAGAAACTTTGAAGTTAGCACTACTTCATACTGTGAGACTGAAAACAAATTAAGGAAAAAGGTAGGAATTGAAGGCAATTAAGTGTATGAATGAGATAATGCTGTTAACAATACATAAAGATGGGATCAGTTAAAATGACAAGTTCCATTCCACTAAAGGTGCCTTAGAAATTCTGCTAGTGTTCAAGTTCCTTAAATTAACAGGTGACGTCTTTGCATGATATGTCCTATGTTAACATTTTGCTAGCTATTGTAAAGACTGATTGATTTTATAGCTTTATTTAAATTTTAACAAAAATGCAAAAATCACTGAAAATAAACAAATGTAATTATACACTGTGAAAAGCTGTACTGAATACTTCAGAAGAACAACACATGAAAACTAATTCCACTGGAACGATTCCATGTGCCTCAGATTATAGAGTCACATATGATCTCAACTCAAGCAGGATTATCACGAAGTTAAATGAGTAAAGTTGATTACTTAACTGCCTCTTCCCCTTGCCAATAACTTTACTTATTACCTATGAAACGATTTTAATAGTATGGCTTCCATGAACTAATGAAGATCAGTTAATAAAAAAGTTCATTTGACTCAATCTATTTTTTTCTTAAATCATTAACAGCATGGATATTAAATAATATTTAGTTGTAAAAGAAGTGTTTTTGTTTTGTTTTGTTTCATGCTTTTGAAATAATGTAAGATCATTTTACTTACTTCTGAACTTTGTCATTGGCTGCTTGGGAGGCCTCCATGGCATGCTGAAGCTCTAATTCCATGTTTGCTCGATCTGTCAGAGCTTGCTGTAGTTGGGTAGCCAGTTCCTCATTCTGTTGTTGAGTGATGGAGACAATGTTCTCTCTACTTTTTAAAGCTTCTTCGTAAGTACTAAGTGTATGGTTAAACTGATCCTTCAGGTTTTCTTCTTGGGATAAAGATTTGTGTAAACTGAGAAAAATATAAAAATAAATAATTTAAGCATAAATATGCAGTCTTACTGACAAATAATGTATTTAACAAAAATCCCCAGTAAGAAATACCCATTTCTAAAAATCAATTTAATACTTAAATGGGTAAATAAAAATAACTTTTATATCACAATACTATCCTTGATAATTATCCTATTTCTCTGCTTCTAGGCTGAAAGCTATCCAGACAAATGATTATTGATGTTACCAAAGCATACATGAAGATGCTGCAAGATGTTAATTTAATTACAACTGTGTAAATATTACATTCAATTTTCTTTAAAAGGAATAGCAGAGAATTGAAAAATAAAGCATCTCTAGGTAAATAAAAGAATATAATAAGCTGACTGCAAAGAGGTGAGAAGTAAGAGAATGGGCCTCAGTTTAGTAGAGCCACGGTTTCTTCAGCTGAGCACTTAACGAGAATGAATGAGGGTTGTACGAATACCGATCAGCCCGTACACAGATATATATAAATGAAGTTAAAATCACTAGTCCGACTGCACAGAAATAATATGTATTCAGATATATTTTCTCTTTGCTAATGAATCTCATGCCAAATATATCCACTCATTAAGTCATACAGAGAAATAGCATATAAATTAAGACTAAATGAATGCAGAAGAAAATGCAGACAAATAGAACCCTAAAATGCTAAAGGTCAAATCTTTGATATGTCATTACACCTACCACCTGAGGTTATTTTGAAATGGCACCAAGCACCTCACTCAATTAAATAAAGACATTTTGAAAATATAAATATTTAATAAGGGAAATTTAAAATCCACACAGGGGATGTTCTTTTTTTATTAAATAAAATCATTTCAGTATATGCATACAAAAGAAATGTCGATGGGAGACTTGAAGTAAAACTACCTAACTATATAATACAGATTGATGATGTGAAAGAAAGTAATATAATTCTTAAAGCTTCAAAAAGCTAGTCAGGGAACTTTAGCACTGGCCAAATATCTAGTCTGATACTTTATTTAAAACTGTTTGAACCAAAGTAATTATAAATTTCTTCTTTTTGTTTAAGTAACCTATAGATCTCTCCAGTGTGCTCACTTTGTAGACGATGTTACACAGAAACAAGAAGGACATGAAGCAGGGACAGTTAGCATACCAAAAGAAATCATTTCAAGATTCAAATTAGTTCTTAAGAAGAAAGACTGCTACTAAATTGTGGCCAATTGATTACTACATAAAAGTAAGAATGGTGTTTAGTGCCATATTTGTAGAGTGCAAAGAAGTATTTTTTCTTTATGGTTTTCACCTCGTTGTTTATATAACCCTTATTTCCATGCCTAAAGGCTCCCATTTCTTGCCCATTTTCCTATTCTTCCTATGTTCTTTCACACTTTCTGATTCCTCTTATTCCATGTTCCAGTTTCCTTCAGTTCACTCTTTGTCTATTTGAAAGATCCAAGAAAGAAAGAAAGAAATGAAAAACAAAACAAAAAAACCTTTAAAAAGACAAATCTATTTATATTCTTCACATGTAAAAGATTATTATGTACATTTTGTTAATTATATTTTTAATTACATAGAGTGCACAAATCTGAAGTATTCAGCTTGACAAAATGTAAAGAACGAAACATGTAACAAACCCAGATTCCCCGTGTTCCCTCCCAGTTAATTCCCCTTTTCTAAAGCAATCACTTATTCAACTTCTACTAAGATTAATATTGCCTGTTTTTGAACTTTTTGTCTGCCTCATCCTATTGTTGCAGATAGTTCATTGTTTTTTACTGCTATTTTATTATTTATAAATTGCTATATACAATTTAATTATTCCACTATTGTTGCTATTAATATTCTTGTTATGTTATCTTTTGATGGACCTAAGTAATCATTTCCCCCTCGCCCAACTTTATTGAGATATAATTGACATAAGTACTCCTTTCTGAAGTAGAATTGCTCTACAGGGTGTACCTTCAGATTAAGTAGATGCTGCACAGAGTTTCCCAAAGTGGTCCTACCAATTTATACTCCCACCAGCAATATATGGGCATTTCAATTGCTCTACATTCTTCCTTAGAGTATTTTCCCTGCTGGTCTCTAACTTACAGCCGTTCTATTAGGGGTGCAGTGCAATTTCACTCTTTTAATACTGTCTTGATGAATGTAAGTTTTTAATTTCAGTGAAGTCTAGTTAATCATTGTTTCTTCAATGGCAGTGCTTTTTGTGTCTTATTTTAAAAATATCTTAGCCTAACCATTCCATTATATTTTATCGTTACGTATATGGTCTCATTTAAAGTTCACAGTAGTAGGCAGCTTCATTTGGGAATTTTGCATTTGTTGGTGATGTCCATAACATCCACTATTCAGTATACTCTAATCAGTTAAGTATTAAGAATTAATGATTCAGTTTTTAAAATATCATCTTTATTAAAATCATGGTATCCCAATTTAATTCTCTTATCATTCATCACTTCCTATTCTTTTATCTTTTAATTTTTTCAAATTTATATATTTTTTTCTTTTTAACAATGTTTTTATTTTCTAATTTTTTAAAAAGATTATATTTATTTATTTGACAGAGAGAGAGAGAGCATGCACAAGCAGGGAGACTGGCAGGCTGAAGGAGAAGCAGACTCCCTGCTGAGCAAGAAGCAGGACACAGGGCTCCATCCCAGGACCCAGGGATTATGACCTGAGCCAATGGCAGACACTTAACTAACTGAGCCATCCAGGCACCGCTCATTTTTCTCTCAGATGGACCTGTGACTGGGATCCTTTAAGCTCAAAAAGCTATTCATCATTCAAAATGCCTTGGAAACCTTTAAATTCCAATCAAGACTTTCTCAAACAGAAGCAGTAGCTGGAATGGTCTTTTAAAACAATAAATTAGATAATGTCATTTAAAATCCTGCAATAGCATCTTCTGGTACTCAGAATAAATTTCTAAAAATAATAATAATAAATTGCCTATTTTAACTCAGTAAACCTCACAACTTATGAGAGCCCTATCAATATTAGTTGTTTTTTTTACAGATGAAGAAATTGAAAGAAAGGGAAGTAATTTAATTAACCACACACATCTAACAGAACCAGAATCTCAACCCACAGTCTTCTTGAGCTGAAACATGAAATACTCCTCCTTCATGGTCATGAGCCATGAAGCCATGTATCATCTGTTCTCTCCTCCTCATCCTCATCATCTTTTAGTCAGACATTCAGCTTTTTTCATCAAGCTTTTTCCTGTTTGAGGTATTTGAATGTTACTCTTTCTTCTCCTGACAAACTTTTACTTATCCATTTGGTCTTAGCATGATCACTGCTTTCTCAGATAAACCTTTTATGACTCTTCCATCTAAATTTTGCTGTTGCTTCTTTGTTATTCTGTCTTGATGACCCTACTCTTTTTCTTCTTAGAACTTAATATTTCATTTTGTGATCTACTGCCCAATTCCAACATACTAATACTCTATTTACAAAGGGCAATTCTTTAAAAAATGGGAACACATTCCTTAATAACTTCAATAAATCAAAATGCTTATATTCCTAAGGAAACTTTCTTATAGGAGTAAAGATGAAGTAGACGGGAAAGATTCCTATCATATATAAATCTATGCCATTTATAGCATATTTTTGTTTTAGTGCTGTTTTTTTCATAGAGTCAAATCACATTTAACCTCTTTTCAAAGTTATTGATTTTCAGGTGCATTTTTAGCATGGCAGCAGCATTACAATTTATTGGTCTTAAATGACGTTGTATTGGAAAATATTTGAAATTAAGTAAGAATGAATGATAAAACAATACAGAAGATCACTCTCAGGAATTCCAAAACATGTAGCTCACACAATATTGACCAAGAATAGTAACTATTTTGGTTTATCATGAAATTGATGAGGTAATATCATACACAAAGTTTCCATTCACTCTTACAGTTTTCAAATTATGTAATTCCTTATATAAGTTTTATTCTTTGAATAGCAAGTGACATTTTGAAAATATTTTTAGTTGGTAATCTTTCATATTATTATAATTCTAATCCATATCAAATGAGAGCATAAATTGCCTCTTATGCTGTTCACCACATTTGAGTCCAACAGCAGGCCAGTATCAAAAATACCCTTTCATGGGCACTGTCCTCGTAAGCAGCATGTAACAGATTTCCTTTCTGGAGTGGTTTCTGCCTTCAGTTCCCTGAAGTCTATGGTCCTGAGTATTTTTCTAGCCCTGGACTCTGCACTGCCTCAGCTTAAAATATCTTGGAATTATTGAGCTTATGACTCTGATGTTTTGCTTGCAGATATCTCTGTTCTCCTCAGTTTATCTGCTTTCCTGCTTGCTGAACTCTCTCTCAATTGTAATGTCACACATGGATTCAGCTTATTCTTGCACCTAGTACTTTTCCATTTATACCAAGTGTTGATGTTACTTTTCCTGGCTTCCTCTTTTGTCTCCATGATCAAGTATTACTTAAGTCCTTCATGAGTCACTTTACTCACCATCCTACAGTATGCAGTTACTCTTCTGCTCATGCTTCATTTATGTACAATAATTGCTCAATCAAAAGTGTTTTATATATGTTGGTTTAATTGGATAAATATTTTTGAATTAAAAATTAAGAGGTGAGATACCACAGTGCAAACCAACAGTTCTTACCTAAGAGTAATTTTGTGCCTCAGGATATATTTGGAACATCTGGAGACATTTCTGGTTGTCAAAACTCAAGGAGGGGAGTACTACTAACATTTAGTGGGTAGAGGCCAGAGATGCTGCTAAGCATCTTCCATTGCAGAGGACAGTCTAATGTGTCAAAAGTGCAAAACTTGGTGTACATGAAAAGATGATGGCTTTGGACTTTGAAGAGGTAGATTCAAATTTCAGTCCTGTCTTTCACTTTGTATGGCCCTAGGAAAATACCCTACCCCTTTGAGTATTAATTTCATTAACTCAAGAACAATGAGAAAAATCTCATGGAGTTCACATGAGAACAGAATGAGGTGATCTAGTTATGTGAAAAA